TGCCAGCCCCAGCCCAGCTTCATCTATCATTTATCTGACTCCCACATCCCCCCTCTATCCTGGTCCTTTCCTCCAGAGACATGTGTCCTTGTGCCAAAGCCTGACAGCACCTTTGCAATAGGAATAAACACCCTTGTGGGTGTTTAAAAATGCCCAATAAATAAATATACCATTTACCACGCCTGATGTGAACCAGCTTTGGCATGTGGAACAGCCACCCTGGCAAGTACCAGAGCTGGGCAGCCACAGCATTCCCCAGGTGAGCTGGGCAGGGAGAGGGACAGGCACATCCCAGCACACTCACCAGACACGGTGCAAACATCCACCTGGGACACGATGCCGGTGCCGTTCTCCTTGTCCGCGGGCCACCGGTAGGTGTAGAGGGACGTGTGTGTGGAGCCGGCGTCAAACACCAGCCCGTACTGGGGGAACAGAGGGGACACAGGTGTCAAGGGGTGCAGACCAGCATCACCCACACAGAGAGAGTAAAGCTCCAGGAGAGCCAGCAGAGCTGCTGGTGAGCAGGGGGACCTCGAGTGGCCAAGCCAAGACTGTCACCAGGACAGAGAAATTCTGGTGACATTGCAGTCACCAGCTGTGTTGGGGACAAGGATCCATCCCAAGCCCTTGGAGCAGGCAGTGCTTTGTGATGAAAAGGCTTTATGTGCTGTAGGGCCACTCACAGTGATCAAACTCAGCCAGACCCTCCCAGCCTGTGTGGGGCTTTGCCCCACATCAGTGACAAACAGCACAGTCTGCCTGAAACCTGGGCAAAGTCTGATACCCAATGGGAGCCAGCACCCAAGGGAGAGCGGGTGGCTGGGCTCCTCCCAAGGACCCACCTTGGTGCTGGGCGGCAGAAACACATCCTTCACATTCACGACGCTCAGAATGAGGGCGATGATGCTGCAGACACAGGTGGCTGCCAGGAGACCTGCAACAGCCTTGGCTTTGGTGTCCATTCCTCCTCCAACCTGCAAGGACAGCCCCAGCCCCCAGCTCACACCTCAGCATTTGCAAAGATAGTTTTGAAATGCAAATCCCATGGACGGATATGGGACCTGTCAAGATGGGCCTTTCCACTTCCCCAGCAATAAAGCCATTCTGTGGTGTACAGCTGCTCTTATCATGGAATCATAACATACATGTGTCAGAAGGAACCTTTAAAACCCATCTAGTCCAAACCCTCTGCCATGGGCAGGGACACCTTCCACTAGCTCAGGTTGCTCCAAGCCCCGTCCAACCTGGCCTTGGACACTTCCAGGGATGAGGCAGCCACAGCTTCTCTGGGCAACCTGTGCCAGGGCCTCCCCACCCTTATTGCAAATAAATCTTTTAGATTAAAACCATCACCCCTTGTCCTATCATTAGAGGTTCCTCTAAAAGTTTTCCAACCCTGTCTTTCTTATAAGAACCCTTTAAGCACTGAAAAGCCACAATAAGCTCTCCCTGGAGCCTTCTCTTCTCCAGGCTGAACACCCCCAGCTTTCTCAGCCTGTCTCCACAGCAGAGGTGCTCCAGCCCTCAGAGCATCTCCGTGGTCTCCTCTGGACCTGCTCCAACAGGGCTCTTGGCAGTCTCAGGGCTGGAATTCCCTGTGCTTCTGAGCACTCCTTCCTCAGAGGATTTTCAGCACGTTTTTTTCAGCCCTTCCTTCTCACTTGTAGCCCCTCAGATCCCTCTGTGCCTGGACCCCAGCCCTCTGTCCTGCTCAAACTGCTGGCTGAGTGGCAGGTCAGCATCTTCCTTCCCAGCAGGAGCATTGTGGGAAGCATGGCCGTATCTGGCTGGAGTCCCAGTCTGGAAAGAGGTCACATCCACTGTCCAACAGGCTCAGCCTGTCCCTGAGAGGGTCCTCTCTGCTCTAGGCAGGGAAACAGTATCTCCAGCCATGTGTCTCCTGCCTGGTCCAGCTTTTCTCCACTCCTGCTGATGCTACAGCAGGTAAGACACACAGGGACAGTGCTGTGGTGATCCCCAAGCCTCTGCTGCAGCCCCAAGGGCAGGCAGGAGGGCAGAGGCAGGCAGCTCCTGCCAATGTGGGCACACAGCCCACAGCCAGGCTGGCACGGCCGCAGCAATGGCCCCTGGGGACAGGAGCAGGGCCTGCACCTCCCACTGGTCTGGCCAGAGCTCAGCTCCAGCAGAACCAGCCCCAAGACACCCATAAGAAGTTGCAGCAGAGAAGCAAAGCCAAAGTGGTTCTCTGTGACAGGCTCAGCACAGGGACAATGACACGTCCACATGCTCAGCACCCCACAGCTGGTCTGGATGGGCTTTTCTAAACACACAGCTCTCCCTCCTGCCCTGCCCTGCCCTGCCCCGTGCTATGAGCTGCACAGGTAGGATGCCTGCAGGGGGCTTTTCTCTCTTCACACTCTGGCTGAACAGTGGATGCCCTGAGAGCCCTGGCCACAACCACACCAGTGCTTTGGGTGGAACCTGGAGCTGTCAGTTGGTTACACAATTCTCCTGTGAGCATATAAAACCTCTGATAAATAACCCTGTCTTTTTCCCAGGTCAGCAGAAAGGAAAGATCTTTGGCAAGCTCAAAGGAGATGCTGATTCCTGTTTTGGAGTCAGTATCTCAATGATGAACAAGAGTGACCAATGTCCTGTGTGGCATGAGATGTACAACGATGAACAGCAGCCTCATGGGACATGGAACTACCTTTTTGGACCTTATCCTACAGCCAGGAGCCCTTCCCTCTACAATAGCAATGGCCAGAAGAGATTAAATGGAAGCAGCTTATGAACCCCTATCATAGAAACAGGGAAACATTAAGGTTGGAAAGACCTCTTTGAGTCATCAAAGCCGTTATTGATTCAAAGTCATAGAGTCCAATCATTAACTCAGCCCCACCATGATCACCACTAAACCATCTGTCACATCTCCAGTCCTATCAGCCCTGCTAGAGTGTGCCCAGATATAACTGTGCTGTTGGGATGTGATTCATCTGCTCCAGGTAACAAACAAAGCAATGGCAAAAGTCCCCAGCCCAGCCCATATCCTGGAAAATTCTGTCCCAGGCACTGTGCGATGGAATTGGTGATAAACTGCATCATCTTGCACACGGGAGTGGTGGGAAATGGACTCCCCCTGCTCTGGTAGGGACTAATTCCCATTTTGACTGGGCAGCAGGCAACATCCAAAAGCAGCACAGAGCCAGCTCTCCCAGGGAGGAGAGCAGGGCATGGAGAGGGAGCCCAGCGAGAGGCGTATGAGAAGCTGATTGATCTGCCCAGCCTTTCCGTGGCACCCCGGGGCTGGCCAGCTCCGACACCTGCTCCCACCCCTGCAGGCTCAGTGAGCAGCAGGGATGGGAAGGTGGTGGCGACGCCTCCAGAGCTGCAGACGAGGCACGATGCTGTGCAGTGCCTGTCTACTTCCACGTGGGGAAAGCTCCCAGCTGTGCCCAGCACCTGGGCCAGGGCTGCACTTGTTTATGTATGACAGAGGGTTTGACAAACACCCGTGGGACATCCCCCGTCTGCAGTGCCCCTCGTGCACAGGGAACAGGGCCTCAGCATTTGGGAGGGAAGGCTCAGAGACGCTGCTGGATCTAAACCTCCTGTTGCTCAGGAAAACGAGGAGCTGACTTCCCTACCGGGCACGTTTCAGACTTGAAAGGCAAAAGGGCTCTGAAGGTTCTAAGAGGGCGGATGTGGATGCCGGGAGCATCTTTGCCAGGCAGAGCGGTCCCCTGCCTCCCGCCTTCCACCAGCGCTGGGGCTCGGCAGTGCCCTCCGTGCCCTGCCCGTGTCCTCTCCGTGCCCCTCTGACCCCGCACCTGGGCACCACGAGTGGCCTCCCCAGCCCTCTCCTCCTGTCCCTCCAGCCCACGGAGCATGTTTCCCCTCGCACCGGCCCCGCTGCTGCCCAAGGCCCGCTCCCAGCCCAGCTCCATCGCGGGGCACCAGCCCCCGGTCCCCGCTCCCCCCGGCGCCTGCCCCGGCTCACCCCTCCGGCTCCGGCCGCCGCTCCGGCCCCGCCGCGCTCGTCCCGGAGTCCGCGCGCACCTGGAGCCGGGAGCCCGCTCCTGGGACAAAGGCTGCCCCGCCGGCGTGGCCCTCCCCTTGGCCTCGGACCAGCAACCTGCCCAGGAGAGCGCTTGTCCGGGAGGCAGCGGGGCTGGGGCTGGAGAGCCGGGGTGGAAATCGCATCCGGGGTTAACCACTTCGCTGCCGGAGGAGCGGGACAGCCAGGAGCGCTCAGGGCTGCGCTGCCCGAGGGGGATCAGATCCCCAGGGAGCCCCTGGCCCCGGAGAGTCTGTCCCCTGGCCCCGTGACAGGGCAGAATCTGAGCTCCGGGAGCCCCACAGACATCCCTGCCCAGCCCTGCTGCACACACTGCGAGGGGCAGAGCCTGTCCTGTCACCCTGCTGTCACCTGGCTCTGCTGGACTTCCACTGCCCCGCTGCAGGCAGAGCCAGGCTGACAGCGGAGCCCGGGACAAAAATAGTAGGGACCTGTCAAGTGAAGAGCTGTCCCCAGAGCCATCCACGTGGGATCCATCCCCACAGGCAGGGGCCAAACCGTCCCCACGGCCAGGGGGCCACCCCAATGGCCAGGGTCCTGTCTGTCCCCATGGCTTTGGGGTAGTGCAGGCAGAGGGCAGGCAGGGTACAGGCATAGGTGCAGGCAGAGGTACAGGAGCATGGTGTAAGCAGGGAGCAGGCAAGGAACAGGAAGAGGTCCAGGCAGGGTGCATGCAGAGGTACAGGCAGGGTGTAGGCAGAAGTCTAGGCAGGGTGCAGGCAGAGATCCAGGCAGGGTGCAGGCAGAGATCCAGGCAGGGTGCAGGCAGAGGTCCAGGCAGAGGTCCAGGCAGGGTGTAGGCAGAAGTACAGGCAGGGTGCAGACAGAAGTACAGGCAGGGTGCAGACAGAAGTACAGGCAGGGTGCAGGCAGGGCGGGTGCCCGGTCCAGGCAGCCGCAGCCCCGAACTCGCCGCTCTCTCCGCCCGCGGCAGCGCCCAGAGCCCGCCCCGGCCGGGGCCGGACCCGGACATCCGAGAGCGGCTCAGCTCCACTTTCTCTTCCCCGCAGGGCCCGGGAGCCGGCGGGCAACGGGCTGTGACCGAATTGCCCCCCACGCCCGCGGACCGAGGGGGCTCCCGGAACAGGTACGGGGGCGGCCGGGACCGCGGCAGGAGGGAACTTCGCCCCTGCCCCTGCCCGGCGGGTCGGGGCCAGACGAGTTCACGGTCTCCCCACCCGTCCGCCTCGTGTCCCAGGGGGTCACTCAGGTCACTCAGGGGGTGGGGGATCCCGAGCTGCTGGCAGAAGGGGACCCCAGGAAGGGCTCGAGGTTCGGGGCAGGGGCAAGCGGGTTTGGATTGCCCTGGCAAAGTCCCTCCCTCTCCGCACACCCTCCCAAAGACCATCCCTCCCGCAGAGCCTCCCAAAGACCAAAGACTATAGACCATCCATTCCCACAGACCCTCCCAAAGATCCTCCCTCCCGCAGACCCTCCCAGAGACGATCCCGGCCCACAGACCCTCCTCCCAAAGACCATTCCACCCTGCAAACCCTCCGCCTAAAGACCCTCCCTCCCCACAGACCCTACACCTAAAGACCCTCCCTCCCCGCAGACCCTCCTCCCAAAGCCATCCCTGCCCACAGTCCCTCCCTGTAGACCCTCCTCCTAAAGACTCCGCCTCCTCGCAAACCGTCCCCCCAAAGGCCACCGCCCCAAATGATCCCTCCCAGATCCAGCTCTCCCCAACGACCCCCCGAAATCCATCGCTTCCCACAGACCCTCCGAAAGACCATCCCTCCCCAATGAGCCTCCTAAAGATCATCCCTCCCCAGAGACCCTCCCAAAGGCCGTCCCTCCCCCCAGATCCTCCCGAAGACCCTCCCAAAGACCCTCCTTCCCCACAGACCATCGATGCCGACGCGCCTGCTCAGGGCGGTGGGCTGGAGCTCAGCGGCCCTGCTCGGAGTGCTGGGGGTGGCCGTCTTCCTCCTGGTCCTGACCCCGGCAAAGGATGCTGCCCTTCCTATGAGGAACAAAGTAGGTGCCCAGTGGGACCTGGGGGAGGCTGGGAGTGACTACCAGCCCCTTTCCACCTCTCATTCTTCCATCAGCTCTGCCTTCCTCTCCACTTGCAAGTGTAACTAGCTGTAACTAGCCCAGCTTTTCAGGGCTTAACCTCATCAAGGTGGGCACTGGGCTGATCAATCACCCCCAAACTGTGGTGCTGGCTCCTTGCTAAGGCTGTGAAAGAGAAGCACAGCCCTCTCCCTGTGACTGCACTCTTTTCCCTGCTTTCAGACGTTCAGTTCACCTGTTGGGTTTACACCTCTCTCCCCCACTACTTTCTGCTGCCAGTCTGCTAAAAAATGTCAGGTTTTGTGAGATTTGCCAAAGGTCCAGGAGCAGCCTGAGCCCTTTGGGAGATGCCCGGATGCCTCCCTGCCCTGCGAATCCCCCAGCTGACCTGCGTGTCCTTCCTTCCTGAGCCGTAACTCGCTGGAATAGCAAAACCGGGGCTATTAGAGGTGGAGCAGGGCTGCTGTAGGGAGGTTGGACGTGCAAATCTCTGCTGCTCACATTCAACTCTTGGAAACCCCCATGACACTTGGTGCAGCCCCGGGAGGGATGTGACCCCATGTCCCCTCTGTTCCCCCAGTACGGGCTGGTGTTTGACGCCGGCTCCACACACACGTCCCTCTACACCTACCGGTGGCCCGCGGACAAGGAGAACGGCACCGGCATCGTGTCCCAGGTGGATGTTTGCACCGTGTCTGGTGAGTGTGCTGGGATGTGCCTGTCCCTGTCTCAGCCTCCTGGATCGTTGGCACAGACTTTCACAGCATCCTTGCTGATCCAAATCTTTCAGCCTGCTCTGGGCTGAAGGGAGATGACCTGGTAAAGAACCACAGGAAAGTGTTAGGGGCTGGTCAGCACCTGAGGGAGCCCTACAGTAATTGGGGGATGCAGAGGTGGGTGAGGAATTTGGCCCCCAGTTAGGACAGATCATGCAGCCAGTCCTGTCCAGTTGTGCATCACTTCACAGCTTGGGATGCTGGATGTGCAATTTGCTCCTTTTCCCAAGCCTCTGCTTCCTTCATTCTTCTTCCCACGACATCTGTTCACACCTTCTTTCATAATGTACACCCCCATGTGCCCATGAGGCCTCCCAAAAGCCCTGCATAAGTCCCTGAGCAATCCAGTGGCTTGGCTTGTTTATCGTACGTGGTTCCTGACTCCTCCTTGGGTCAGCAGTTTGTATTTTCGTATCTGTACAGCACCAACCACAGGATTTTGGGTGTGACTGAGACATCTGGGTATTGCTGAGGAAGTCCAGTAGAGCTCCCTGGGCCTGGGGAATGGGTGGACATATCCCCTGCTGTGCTGTCCCTCCGGGGTGCGCTGGGCTCTCTCCATCACTGGTGCCTTCTGGCAGGACCCGGCATCTCCAGCTACGCAGACGACCCCGCGGGGGCTGGTGCCAGCCTGAAGCCCTGCCTGGACCAGGCCTTGAAGATCGTGCCGGCGGAGCAGCAGCGGGAGACCCCCACCTACCTGGGGGCCACGGCCGGCATGCGGCTGCTGAGGTAGCGCCGGGCCGGGGCCGCCCCCGCCCCTTCCCCCCCGCGCTCCTGCATCTGCATCGCAGCCGGGGCAGGGCTGGGCTGGGGCAGGGGGTGCAGCCCGGGCAGGCCATGCGGGTGGGCAGAGCATCCCTGTCTGCGGTGCCACGGGGTGTCCAGGACAGCCGCTGGCCGTGCCCGGGGGATACCCCCGGCCCACTGCAGCCCCAGAGGGGGATGAAGCCCCTCTGCCAGACGGGCACTGACCTTCCCAGTGCTGCGGCAGAGCCCGCAGGCGGCGTTGGTAGGGAGATTCCCGATGGCCCAGGTGAGGGATTTGGGGCTCACAGGAGCCAGCACAGACAGGGCAGTGCTGGGGGATGTGCCTGCCTCTGGGCAGCCTCGCTCCCTGGCAGGGCACGGCAGCCTCTCGCTGCTAGCCCAGCTCCCACAGCTCCCAGCTGAGGCCTCCTGCCCCAGCCGTGTTCATCCCTTTCCTGTCAGGGAGCAGAACAGCACCAAGGCCGAGCAGGTCTTTGCTGAGGTGGCCAAGGTGATTGAGGAGTACCCTGTGGACTTCCGTGGAGCTCGGATCCTGACGGGCACAGAGGAGGGCTCCTTCGGCTGGATCACCGTCAACTACCTGCTGGAGACACTCGTCAAGGTGTGAGCTGGGGGAGAGGGAGGGGAGGGCTGAGCGCTGAAAATATCCCTGCCCAAGTGACAGTCAGGGTTCTTTGTTCCAGAGGAGAGAAGGTTGTAGTTTTAGGGCACTGGTCCCCTGATAAATCTCACCTGTGGTCGTGGGCTGCAGATCCAACCCCAGTGATGTGATGAACAGAATCTTTGTGTCCAGCTCAGCCCAGCCCTGTGCTCTCTGCTGACTCAGGGGTGGATTTTGGTACCTCAGGGGTGCAGGGGTACCAGGTTCCAGATGAAAGTGTTCCTTTTTCCCTCCTCAAAGTCTCTGGTTCCCAGAAACAAGGGGCCAGACCTCAGAGCTCCCTGAAAGTTTCTGTGGGTTGAGGAGGATGTGGGCAAGGGGGGTAAAACAGGGAGACAGGACATGGAAGTTCCCTCTGGGGCTTCTGAGCCCCAAAAGCCATGAGGAAACCCATGGGACTGGGAGTCCCTCCCATTCAGACTAACATGTGCTGTCTCTTGGGCCAGTTTTCCTTTGCAGAGAAATGGGAACATCCAGAGGACACCGAGGTTCTGGGAGCTCTGGACCTTGGAGGTGCCTCGACACAAATAACCTTCCAGCCCGGAGTGCCCGTGGAGGACAGGAACGCTTCGGTCTTCTTCCGCCTGTACGGCACCAACTACTCTCTCTACAGCCACAGCTACCTGTGCTATGGGAAGACACAGGCCCTGAAGATGCTACTGGCAGCTCTGCACCAGGTACCACAGCCTGGGGCCTCAGGATGTGCTCAGCCATCCTCCACTGCCACGAAAGGTGTCTCCCAGAAACGTTGGGCATGCCTGTGGATAAAGTGTTAGGGAACTGGGAGAGCTTGAGATTTTATCTATGGAACCAAACAATTCCTTCCTTTGGGTGGAAGATGGGGGTGAAGGTTGAAGGTTGAAGATGGGTGAAGAAGGTTCCCTGCCAGGGCTCCCTTCTCCCCAGATCTTGATGTGTAATAGCATTTTTTGTCATTTCCCAAGCCCAGCCGTATCCGTAGGTTTTCCCTGTCCATATTCTCTCCCCCTTGCTCAATTTGTGCCTGCGAGAGGATTCCCAATAGAGTCCCCACGCTGCTCCAGCACTGTGCAGTGTCCTCCTGCCTGCCCTGGGCCCAAGCGCTCAGTGCCCTGGGATGCAGGGATGCTCAGGAAGCACAGAGTCAGGATCCATCCTTGGTCTTCCCTGGGCCAGGGCCTGCAGGGTGCGGTGGGGACAGAGCGAGTGCCCAGAGCACCAAGCTCTCCGTGCGGGCAGAGCACCAGCACTACTGCCCTGGGGAGCAGGTGCCACTGCTGGGGGTGGCAGTGCCATCGTTCCCCCGGCACGGCTCAGTGGCTCTCAGGGAGAGCCGTGGGCAGGTTAGTCGTGCACAGGACGGATCCTGCTTCTCCTCAGATCCTCCTGGGGTCTAGGTACTGCTTTTTGGGCTGGGCTGCGGGTGGGGTCTCCCTGGCATCCCACGCCAAGCCCCACTGATGGCTCCCTCTCTCTCCAGGACAGCATGACTGCCCAGATCTCACACCCCTGCTACCCCATGGGGTACCAGGAGAATGTCACCGTGGCAGAGCTCTACGACAGCCCGTGTGTGCGTGCCCCCAGCACAGCCAGCCCTGCCCAGGTGCTGACGGTGACGGGCACAGGGGACCCAGCCAGGTGCAGCACAGCCGTGCAGAAACTCTTCAACTTCAGCTGTGGGGCCCAGAGGCCGTGCGGGTTCAACGGGGTGTACCAGCCCCCCGTGCGGGGACAGTTCTTTGTAAGGAGCCTCCGTCCCTGCGGGTGGAGGGGGAGTTGGGTTTTGGGCCACAACCCCAGGAAAACCTCTGTAGGAAAGTCTGGATGGTGCCAGTCCTGGGAGCTGGGATGTCTTTGACACATGGAGACATGCAGGGTGCTCACCCATGTGCCAGGGAGCTCCAGAGCTCTGTGGTCCCAGCTGTAATCCCTGTTGTTGTGGGGAACATTGCCAGCTCCCTCCCAGCCACTCAGCTGCCTTATAGAGACCCCTCTGGAGGGAGCTGAGGAGTCTCAATGACTCAGGTGCTTCACCAGCCTGTCACCTTTGGTCTCAAACACCTACAGGCCTTTTCTGGGTTTTATCATGCCTTTCTCTTGCTGAACCTGACGGGAGGGCAGTCCCTGGCCTCGGTCAATGCCACCATCAGGCAGTTCTGCGCCAGGACCTGGGACAAGGTGAGATCATGCCCAGGATGTGCCACACCCTGCCCACATTTCTTCTGGGTGCTGGGCAGCCTGAAAGCTCATCCACAGTGAGCTGGGGACAGCTGAAGAGGGCTGGGAGGAGCACAAAGGTCTCTGAACCTGGAGAGAGATGGGAGAGCAGCCTGTAGCCTCCGAGGTCCTCCTTGCTCTCCCGGTCTTTGCTCCCAGCTGCACTGAGGGGCTGTTCCCCAGCGTGGGCACACCAAGCACTGCTCCGTGCTGGCAGCCCGCCCCTGTTCTCCCACCTCTGCAGGTGCAGAAGTTGTTCCCCACAACAAGCAGGACCCATCTCCGTGACGCCTGCGGAGTCAACTCCTACATCCTCACCCTTCTCCTGCAGGGCTACAAATTCAACCAGAAAACATGGCTTAACATCCACTTCATCCGACAGGTAGGAGAGTGCCTGGCAGCCCCCAGCTTCCACACTTTGGGCCATGAAATGGCTCGTGCCTACCCTGCTGCTGCCCCTGCCCTGACTGGGGACAAGGGATGCCGGGTTAGCACAGCCCCACTGCCCATACCCAGAGCTACATCAGGCACCTGCTGGTACATCTGGCCTGGCCCCTTATGCTCTCCCCCAGTTTATCTCACTAATGGGGCAGCCCAAGGTGGGTACAGATACGGTGGCTGTGGAGCAGGACCTGGGAGTACAGCAGCAGAGGTCTTCTCTACATCTCCAGCTTGCCTGGTACTTTGCAGCCTTTCACATTCCTCTTCCTCCTCTGTCTGCACAGGTAGCTGACATAGACGTAGGCTGGACTCTGGGCTACATGCTCAATCTCACCAACATGATTCCCTCGGAGCCTCCTCCAGGAGTCATAGTGCTCCAGAGAAAGAGCTGGATAGCAGTCACAGTTTTACTGGCCATCATGCTCATCCTCACCTTCTGCCTGCTCACAGTCATGTGCCTCCAGAGGAATTCCTCTGGCTATGAGCGTCTCTAGCGCTGGCTCCGGAGGCTGCTGAGGCCACCAAGTTCCACTGCCACACCTGTGCAAGGAGCTGCTCCCCAGGGAATCACCCCTGTGTGCCCTGGGGCCATGGATTTGTTGTGGGGGGCCCTGAGCCCTGGCCTGGTGAGCTGGAACTGGCATATGCTGTAAGACATCCTCCCCGTAGCTGTTTGCTCTCTGGTTTTCCTTTCCCCGCCATGCTGGTTGGAGATGCTCCAGGAGGGAGGGTATGGCTATGCGGGGCAGGGGCTCAGCACTGTGGCATGGGGACCACAGTGATGTGGGGTGGCTCAAGACTGGGGGTCAGGGAGGAGAGAAGGAGGGTCTGGCAGCAGTGGGGTCATCACAGGGCTGGTTACAGCCCCCAGGAGATACCCCGTGTGGGGCAGACGTGTCCTGCCCCATCCCAGGGCGAGGCACAGGGTTGTCTCCCACAGACTAGAGCAGTGTTGCCTCTCCCCTGAGTTTCCGGCATCATCACCTGCCTTTACCTGGAAGATGGAAGCAATAAAATCATAACAGTTTGGGAGCAAAGGAACAGACATTTTCCCATGTGCTGCCTTTTATGATCTTTATGTGGGTCACAAGAGCTGTGAGGTGTCCGACACTCCACAGGGACACCAAAGGTCAGCGCCTTGCTGTGGGAATGCAAACAACAACATGAGTCATCCACAGGGCAGATAAAAACAAGCAGAACCAAAGGCAAAGGCAGGGGCACAGAGTGCTGGTTTAAAGGTAAACTGGCAGGGGGAATGAACCCAACTCAAAAGAGATTATAAATCAGAATAACAATTTAATAAAAATAATACAATAAATACAATTATACCGATGAACAATTGGTTTAACCCACAAAACCCAGATGTATAACCCAGCACCCCTGGGGCATGAACAGAATGGTGTTCATTGGGCCCCCCTGAGTCCAAAGTAAAAGGAGAGGGAAAAACCTGTTAATGAGAGTGGTGATCTCATCTGGTTGAAAGTGGTACTCGCAGTCCGGTCAAGGTTCTGGTCCCCCTTTGGATCCAACGAATGGTACCAGAAGTCCCAAGACCCCAAGATTATATACCCTCAGGTTCAGGCAGGAATGCCCAGTACCTCCCCCAGGGTGGGGAGTTCCACAATGGGTGAGATATTTTTGGAATCCTTGGTGGCCCATTAGCAAACATGACCCCTCAGGCTGGGTGTGGAGGTGCTAATGACTCCAACATCACCCATAACTACAGCCTGAGGGGTCAGGTGTGCTCTGGGCAGCTGCTGCAAATGGTCTATTGTTAACAGTTCCTGGGAAATGGCATGGGGGGTGTAGAATACACAGTTTGTGTAACACCCACACAGTGATGAGTTGGTCCCAGCTGTTCTAACTGGGACACACAGCTGTGGGCAGGGCCCAGCTGAGTCATGTGCAGGTCAGGACCCACAGCCTGCTGGAGTCTCAGCCTGACACCCACAGAGCCCAGGCCTTCTGCTGGTGGGACAGTGTTGCCTCCACTAAGGCACTCAGGAACATCAATTCCTTTATCCCAGACACAAAGGAAGATGATGAGATGAGATGGTGAGATGTCATGACATGACATGACATGACATGACATGACATGACATGACATGATGATGAGATGAGATGAGATGAGATGAGATGAGATGAGATGAGATGAGAT